TAATTAGATATTAATGTCCTTTTTCACAGTTCCATTCAGATTCTAATAAATGGACTTCAAGTTCATTGATAAAGGAGACCTATTCATTAAAATAAACACTTAGACAAAAAAAAACACTCAAGATTTATTCAAAAGCCTCAAGAAAAACTCATAAAACCACTATAATTCTGACCCCCATACATGTCGGTAATGGGAGAAATGTCACAGAAAATCGACAAATTTAATTGAAACAAAATTGGCCAGTTTAGCTCATCCCGTGCTACCAACAGAGTCCCTTAGCAATAGAAGAAGCTCTTGGGTAGTTTGATTTTTTTGAGTTCCACCAATACTAAAAAATCATATAATGTCCATTTCTGTAGTACTATGCTGAAGCGAGAGCACTAATTAGACATTAACGTCCTCCTTTCACATTTTCAGATTCTAACAAATAGGCTTCAAGTTCATTGATAAAGAAACCCCATTAAACACGTAGACAAAAAAAATGAAAATTGGCAAATTTCATTGAAACAACATCGGCTAGTTTAGTTCATCCTGTCTTACCAACAGAGTCTATAGAGATGAAAGAAGCTCTAGGGTAGTTTTATCCACCAATACTGAAAAATTATATAATGTCCATTTATGTAGTACAATTATGTAGTACTCTGTTGAAGTGAGATTACTAATTAGACATTAATGTCCTTTTTCACAGTTCCATTCAGATTCTAATGAATGGACTTCAAGTTCATTGATAAAGGAGACCAATTCATTAGAATAAACACTTAGACAAAAAAAAACACTCACGATTTATTAAAAAGCCTCAAGAAAAACTCATAAAACCACTATAATTCTGACCCCAATACATGTTGGTAATGGGGGAAATGTCACAAAAAATTGGCAAATTTAATTGAAACAAAATTAACTAGTTTAGTTCATCCTGTCTTACCAGCAGAGTCTCTAAAGATGAAAGAAGCTCTAGGGTAGTTTTATCCACCAATACTGAAAAATGTATATTTTATATATTTTTTTTTTTTTTTTTTTATATATATATGTATATAATGTCCATTTATGTAGTACAATTATGTAGTACCCTGTTGAAGTGAGATTACTAATTAGACATTAATGTCCTTTTTCACGGTTCCATTCAGATTCTAATGAATGGACTTCAAGTTCATTGATAAAGGAGACCAATTCATTAGAACAAACACTTAGCCAAAAAAATACACTCAAGATTTATTAAAAAGCCTCAAGAAAAACTCATAAAACCACTATAATTCTGACCCCAATACATGTCGGTAATGGGGGAAATGTCACAGAAAATTGGCAAATTTAATTGAAATGAAATTGGCCAGTTTAGCTCATCCCGTGCTACCAACAGGGTCCCTTAGCAATAGAAGAAGCTCTTGGGTAGTTTGATTTTTTTGAGTTCCACCAATACTAAAAAATCATATAATGTCCATTTCTGTAGTACTATGTTGAAGAGAGACCACTAATTAGACATTAACGTCCTCCTTTCACATTTTCAGATTCTAACAAATAGGTTTCAAATTCATTGATAAAGAAAACCCATTAAACACGTAGACAAAAAAAATGAAAGTTGGCAAATTTCATTGAAACAACATCGGCTAGTTTAGTTCATCCTGTCTTACCAACAGAGTCTCTAGAGATGAAAGAAGCTCTAGGGTAGTTTTTATCCACCAATACTGAAAAATTATATAATGTCCATTTATGTAGTACAATTATGTAGTACTCTGTTGAAGTGAGATTACTAATTAGACATTAATGTCCTTATTTCACATTTCCATTCAGATTCTAATTATTATTATTATTATACAGTATTTATAAAGCGCCGATAGTTCGCTCAGCGCTGTACATTACAAAGGGGGACAGAACATGTGACAGAACAATAACAATACAATGCAAAACATGAGGGGATCGAGGGCCCTACTCTTTCAATCTTACAATCTAGGAGGGAGGGGATGGTAGCACAGGAGGAGATAGCTGTGGGGGATGGAGTGGTAGGAAGAGTGGAGTTGGTCGGCAAGTTAGCAGGGGGTGGGGTAGACTTCCCTGAAGAGGTGGGTTTTCAGGGCACGCCTAAAGGAGAGGAGAGTAGGTGATAATCTGATGGGTTGGGGCAGGGAGTTCCAGAGGATGGGTGACACCCTGGAGAAGTCCTGGAGGCGGGCATGGGAGGAGGAGACCAGGGAACTAGAGAGAAGGAGGTCTTGTGAGGAGCGGAGTGTGCGTGTTGGGCGGTACTTGGATATTAGGTCAGTGATGTAGTTCGGGGCAGTATGGTGGACGGCTTTGTCCGTCAGTGTTAGGATTTTGAATTTGATCCGTTGCGCAATCAGAAGCCAGTGGAGGGATTGGCAGAGGGGGGTGGCGGAGATGGAACGTTTGGAAAGGTGAATGAGTCTGGCAGCCGTATTCAGGATCGACTGAAGCAGGGGATAGCCAGCGGAGAGGCAGGCCAGTGAGGAGGGAGTTGCAGTAGTCGAGTTGTGATATGATGAGGGAGTGGATGAGCTGTTTAGTGGTTTCTGGGGTTAGGAACGTGCGGATTTTGGCGATGTTGCGGAGGTGGAGTCTGCACGAGTTTGTTAAAGATTGGACTTGGGGCTGGAAGGATAGGTTGGAGTCCAGAATGACACCAAGTACACTGGCCTGCAGGGCGGGTTTGATGGCGGCGTTGTTGGATGTGATGGAGAAGTCAATGGGGGGTGGTGTCCGGGCTGGGGGGAAGACAAGAAACTCGGTTTTGGAGAGGCTCAGTTTAAGGAAGTGGAGCGACATCCAGAACTTGAATGGACTTCAAGTTCATTAATAAAGGAGACCTAGTCATTAGAATAAACATTTAGACAAAAAAATACTCAAGATTTATTAAAAAGCCTCAAGAAAAACTCATAAAACTACTATAATTCTGACTCCAATGCATATTGGTAATGGGAGAAATGTCACAGAAAATTGGCAAATTTAATTGAAACGAAGTTGGCCAGTTTAGCTCATCCCGTGCTACCAACAGGGTCCCTTAGCGATAGAAGAAGCTCTTGGGTAGTTTGATTTTTTTTAATTTCAACCAATACTAAAAAATCATATAATGTCCATTTCTGTAGTACTATGTTGAAGTGAGACCACTAATTAGACATCAACGTCCTCCTTTCACATTTTCATTCAGGTTTTAATTAATGGACTTCAAGTTCATTCATAAAGGAGACCTATTCATTAGAATGAACACTTAGACACAAAAAAGAACTCAAGAATCATTAAAAAGCCTCCAGAAAAACTCATAAAACCACCATAATTCTGAATCCAATGCATTTTGGTGTTGGGCGAAATTTCACAGAAAATTGTCAAATTTCACTGAAACAAAATTGACCAGTTTAGCTCATCCTGTCTTTCCATAGAGTCCCTCAGAGATGAAAGAAACTATCAGGTAGCTGTATTTTCCATAATCCTGTAATGCTGAAAACATTCTGGTTGCTATGTCACCCTCTGCAATGGATGAACCTTTGTTAGGTTAACAAATATTCATTTTATGTAGTACCATGTTGAAATCAGACTGCTAATTAAATATCAGGGTCCTTCTTTCACATTTTCATTCAGATTCTAAGGCTGGCTGTACATTATACAATTTTTTTTAGATTTACCAAAACCATATAATATGAGGTCATATAATATAAGGGATGGATGGGTGCTGGTGCCTGCTTACAGGAACTCCCTTCTCTGGATTCACTAGGTGGCTGGATCAGATGGGCTCTGTGAAAAAATAGCTCTATCATTTGTTCTGTGACCTGTCTCAGTTTATCCATCCATCTGTTCTTTCCTCCATCCTCTGGCCAGTTGGCCTGGTAAATGAACCTCTGGCCAGTTGGCCTGGTAAATGAACCTCTGGCCAGTTGGCCTGGTAAATGAACCTCTGGCCAGTTGGCCTGGTAAATGAACCTCTGGCCAGTTGGCCTGGTAAATGAACCTCTGGCCTATTGGCCTGGTAAATGAACCTCTGGCCAGTTGGCCTGGTAAATGAACCTCTGGCCAGTTGGCCTGGTAAATGAACCTCTGGCCAGTTGGCCTGGTAAATGAACCTCTGGCCAGTTGGCCTGGTAAATGAACCTCTGGCCAGTTGGCCTGGTAAATGAACCTCTGGCCAGTTGGCCTGGTAAATGAACCTCTGGCCAGTTGGCCTGGTAAATGAACCTCTGGCCTATTGGCCTGGTAAATGAACTTCTGGCCAGTTGGCCTGGTAAATGAACCTCTGGCCAGTTGGCCTGGTAAATGAACCTCTGGCCGGTTGGATCTTTTTGCATTCCTGTGTGCCCCTGACAAAACCACCTTGAGGGAGGATTATTCCCAGACCCAGACCAGACCAGATCCATTAAAGGAGACCTCTACTGATACATTTAATGCGTATTTTAATTACACATCTTGTGAGTGCGTAATTTTACTACACGATTTGGAGCACCGCCACTGGATTTTACTGTGATATCGCACCTTTATCTGCACAGACTGTCACCATTATTTATATACTCTGAGCAATTTTATGTGATTTAGTTTTATTGATTACTTATTTTGGGACGGATTATTATAATACCTATTTTTTACTGCTGCACTGATTTGTACATGCTTATTATACTCAATGTGGAACCTAAGGGGTTAATCCTCTGCAATGTGTAAAAAGGCTGTTTGATCATGTATTCTCTGATCCTCCCCTTCTTCTACTGTCCCCAATCCATCTGCTAATAGTACAGAGTCCTTGGAGTCACTCAGCACATGCTCGGTTTGGTGTGTATTGCAAGAGAGGGTTTTTTTGTTCTATGGGAGAGTGCATGTGATCACCACAGGGCCAATCAGCACTGCCCAGACAGAGGGTCAGATGTTATGCAGCCTCATAGGACAGTGAGAGCAGAACGAAAACTCCTCCTACAAGATTAACCAGTGCTCTGTTGGACAGTCCGATAGAGGTCACAAGACTGCTCTAACTGCTGATTAAAAAAGGTATTTAGCAGTTTATGTTGACTAAAATCAGTTTGTTTTTGTGGGGGAATGCAGTTCTGGCACCTCCAGCACTGAATGCAGGAGCATCTATACTGTAGATGCTGGCTGCTGGGGGATCTATTGTTGCTGGGGGGGGGGGACTCTTGATGAGGGATGGGTCTATTCTTGTTGAAGGGTCAATTGTTACTGGGAGGGATCTACTGTTGAGGGAGAGGTCTGTTGTTGCTGGCTGCTGGGAGATCTATTGTTGCTGGAGAGGGGTCTATTGTAGCTGGGGGGTATTTTGTTCCTCAATGTACTTTTGTTGTTGGCAGCAGGGGATCTATTTTACTGCTGTTTATGTTATCTTTGGCAAATTCTATACAAAAATACTGCACAAGAAAATGATACTTGGTATTCACTAAAAGGGGTGGTATTGGTAGGACGTGGAAATAAAGAATGGTGCCGGTAGGTGGGTAGGGGGTGGAGACAAGGGAGGAGTTCCTGCACGTATCCTCTGAGAAAAAAAAAACCCCCAACTAAATAATTGCATTTCCATGTTGTGTGTACTGTGGGAGACCAGATATAGTGAATGCAGGGTCCGGGGAGACCAGATATAGTGAATGCAGGGTCCGGGAGACCAGATATAGTGAATGCAGGGTCCGGGGAGACCAGATATAGTGAATGTAGGGTCCTGGGAGAACAGATATAGTGAATGCAGGGTCCGGGGAGAGCAGATATTATGAATGCAAGGTCCGGGGAGAGTGGATATAGTGAATGCAGGGTCCTGGGAGACCGGATATAGTGAATGCAGGGTCCGGGGAGACCAGATATAGTGAATGAAGGGTCCGCGGAGACCAGATATAGTGAATGCAGGGTCCGTGGTTTAGTAACATGTTAAACCGCCATAATTCTGCCTCCGATGTATTTCAGTGATAGGAAAAAGTTTCACAGAAAATTGAGCAAATTTAAGTCATGCAAAGTTGGCCGCAAAGTTGCTTGTACCAAGAAAAAGGGAAAACAAGCGCCATCTAGGTGTAGTATTAAGATCAACATACTACACCTAGATGGCGCTTGTTGTCCCTTTTTCTTGGTTCATTCACAGAGTCATCTCCTTCTCTTATTACAAACTGACTCCTAGTGGACGTATTGACCTCATTAGGTCCTTTGGACTTTTTATATCCAGAGTTAATTAATCCCCCGTTTTTGCCTAGTAGCGCTCAATCTGTTTATTATCCGCAAAGTCGTTTGCCCGTTCTTGCCGACAGAGTCCCTGTATATGAAGGAAAATATGTATTTTCCAAAATCTAGCAGTACTGAAATATTAGATACTGTTTAATTCTTAACTTCAAACTGATTAAATAATTGGGATTCGTCAAGAGGATGCGCATTTGGATACATGCTCAGGGACAGAGCAGGCAAACATTATTGCATGGGGCCATGGCGCTGCATGCGGCATAAGACAGCGCTGATAGATTACAAAGCTGACAAGGATTCAATGTTTCCCTAACTAGCATTTTGCTGAAAGCAGCTGTCTTTAGTTTACTGTCCTATGAGATGTTTAACCTTGAAGCTTTCATAGTGAAATGTTTATGAATGTCATTAAGCTGTACTGTAGGTCAAAGAATCTTAAATCTGAAACACGAGCCGCAGAACAGAAACCCCTGCAGGTCACATACAAGAGTCATCTTGTTATTCATCCTTGTTTATAACGAATTGGACTACCGATTTTTTTTCTTCTTGTTTAGAGGCAGTTTTACATTATTTTTATGCTGCACTCTGCACCCTCAGTGGAACCCTTGGACAGGTACGCTTACATGGATATATTTTATTTCTGTTTTTTTTATTATATTATTTTCTTTTTCCGAAAAACCGAAGAGCATTCTGCAGCATTAGGCATCGGCATATTCTTTGGCTTGTGAAAGTGGGCGGGATATATTAGGCAGCAAGTGAACATGTTGTCCCTGAAGGTGATGTGTTGAAAGCAGAAACAAATGGGCAAGGGTAAGAATTTGAGTGACTTTGACAAGACAAAGCAGGAGAGAAACGCGTAGACTCATGAGGACTCACAACCACGACTATTGTTGTATATTGTACATAACTAATTCTGATACGTCCATCTTCATTATGGGGTAGAGTGAGCAGTAGGAAGCATTTCAATCAATATTGAGCAATCCTGTTTTTTATTTTTATCTACGTTGATTTTGTAGTTCAATGGTTTTTATTAGTTTTAAATGTTTTAAACAAAGGAGGACATAATCAAAGTGCCCGCCCATGCGGGGGCTATCAGTGGCACATAAGCAGGGGCGGGCTGACCATTCGAGCACTCGGGCACTGCCCGAGGGCCCGGGGTCAGTAGGGAGTCCCCATAAAATGCCCCTGGTACCTTTTATAGGCTTTTTTGGGTGTGTTTTTGAGTGTGGGCAAGGACACGGGGCCCCATGATCCCCAATTGCCTGGGGACCCCATGAGTTGTCAGTCCACCCCTGCACATAAGGTATAACCAGAACAATGCTACAACTCACACCAGCAATGCAAAAGGCCCCCACGCAGGGGCTATCAATGTATCAATGGCACATAAGTTATAACCGAAACAAAGCTAAAACTCCAGCAATGCAAAAGGCACGCCCACTCAGGGGCTATCAGTGGCACAGAGAATACAAAAAAGTATAGTGGAGTAACTCCAACAATGAAGCAAGTCAAAGGCAGATATCTACTGCCACGCAAAAAAAACAGACAAAAACAAAAAGGAAAGAAGAGTAAAGAAGAAAGAAGACAAGACCAATAGCAAGGATCCGGGAACTCCAGTACCGATCAACAACCTAGACCCAGGCTAGCCGGGGGAAGCGTGGGAAAAGCATATGTCAACCACGGCTCTAAGATTTTCAAAAATTTGCATTGGGAGTCATTGTGGGTACTCAACATCTGTTCATTAAGCATCAGAGTGGACATGTGGTCCCACACCCCCTGAAGAGAGACAGATGTACTTTTCTAGGCCTGAGCAATTGTTCTAGTTGCTGAAAAGAACAAATATGAAGCCAACTTCTGCTGGTGAGCCAACAGGCCCGGTATGGGACGATAAAGCAGAGCACACCGGGCGTCCCGGCATATGGAGAGATTAAACAATGTATAGAGAAGGCCAAATACACAAGACCAAAACCGAATCAATCTCGGGCATGACCACCATATATGTAACACATCCCCACGATGGCCACAACCCCAAAAGCAGCGATCACTATAGGTAAGTTTTGCCTGAGCTATACGTGTCCAATACCAACGGAACAGTACTTTGTATGCCACCTCCAGAGTATTTGTGTTGAACAAACTTTTAGCTATAAATGACCAGGCCTTATTCCAATCCTCCGAATCCACGACCACCCACAAATTGCACTCCCATTGGGCAACATACGATAGGGTAGTACTTGTCGAGTGCCTATTCAAAGATGCATAGAGTAAGGAAACCAGACCTGGGGTGCTAGGACTCTGTTGGCAAAGCTGTTAAAAGGGGGATTTCTGATATGGGAAGGCAGAGGTGCCACGCAGTGAGGTCAGCCAATGCCGCAATTGAAGATATCAGAAAAATTCCGCCTGAGGAACATCCCGAGAATTCCAGATGACCGAGAAGTCAAGAATTGTCGCACCTGCGAAAATCCATTGGCCACCCACTAAGAGAACGCCCCATGTTAATCTAAACCCAGTGGGAAAAGCGGATTAGTAATTGGGAGCAGAGGTAGAAAGGGTGACATCAAACCACTAGAGGAATGAACTGAGTCCCTTATGTGCAGGCCATGGAGCAAAATAGGACTCAATGTCGTTGGGCGTAAGGCAGGGGGGAGTCATAGAAACAGAGTGAAGCAATGGGAAATAGTTTGCAGCAAACAAAGAGTCATATGTGGGAGTCAGGCGAATGCCAAAGTATTCAAACAAAGATGAGGCCCATTTGTAGGGAAAATGGGACTGTAGGCGCAAACCAAATCCTAGGCCAAGATGATATTGAGAGCGACAGTCTTATCCAAATTTATATGAAGACCCAAGATCAATAAGAAACACGCAAGAACCGGTTGCAAGTTTGGGAGTGTCATCGATTAGTGAGAGTCAAGAGGGCATAGTCCTCAAAGATATTCAACTTAAATTCCTGGCCCACATAAGGGACCTCCGATATGTTACAGTCAGCCCGGAGCGCCAAAGCGAACGGCTCAAGCGCCAGGAAAAACAGCGCCGGAGACAGAGGACATCTCTGTCTCATCCCTCGCCAAATGGGAAAGGGATCCGAGAAGTATCCTGCATACTTAGCCGAAGGGGAAGAATACAAGGCCTGAATCTAAGAAAGGAGAGAATCCATGAAGCTCCAGTGGGACAACACGAACTGCAGGTATTCCCAGGATAAGGAATCAAAAGCTTTATATATGTCCAAAGACAATAAGAATCCCATCAATTTCTGCTGCTGCAAAAGGTGTATGAGGGAACCACCTTACGAACATTGTTGCTCGCCTGCCTCCCAGGGACGAAAACCACTTGGTCCCTATGGACCAGGCTATGTAAATATTTGTTGATCTGAAGACTGGGAATCTTGCCAATATCTTCAGATCGTCCTTAAGAAGCGAGATGGGCCGAAAGGCTTGCGGTTCCTGCACATCCTCCGTTGTCTTAGGAATCATTGAGATGTGAGCTCTGAGCGCATCTGAGAGGGCAAAAAGCCCTGTCGTAATTCATTGAAGTAACTTGCCAAGAAGGGCACCAATAGGGCTTCAAATTTCTTGTAGTAGAGGCCAGAAAAACCGTCAGAACCCGGGGCTGTGGAGGACCGTAAGGATTTGATTGCTTGAACTACTTCTGATACAGAAACACCTGCATTAAGGGCTGCCTGCGCCGCATATCAGACAATCCAGGGAGCTGTAAATCGTGAAAGAACGCTTTCTCCTGAGCTACAGGAAAGGAATCTGGTTTGGCATACAGATGTGAAAGGAAGTCAATCTGCTGGGGATTTAAAGTACCCCCCCCCCCCCAGGGATCCTCAACTGGACTGGATTATAGGGTTTCCCCACAGAATTGAGTTTCCTAGCCAATACCAGACCCAGCTTATTAGCACAGGTATAAAACTTATGCTTGGTCCAACGTAAGGCCCATTCAGCCTCCGAAGAACCGAGTAAGTCCAGTTCAGCAGCTAAGGCGTCTCGCATACATTTATGGACCACGAATGGGTGCGACTTCCAACGAGCATCCGCCAAGGCCAGAAAAGAATGGAGGTCTGAAAGGCGATGCTCCCACTTTCGAGTCACAGCCAGCTGTATAATATGGCCCTGCACCGTAGCTTTATGCGCCTCCCACAGAGGCACTAGCAAAGAAATAGATCCTGAATTGTTCGCAAAATATGTCTATATGAAAGATTCAATTTTCTGACATGTGATCTGGGTGGTCAATAAAGACTCATTAATACACCAATGAAAAGGATGCTGTGCCGTACCCAAGAGTGCAAGAAGTAGAACCAGAGGATCATGGTGCGACCAGGGCGAGGAAGGGATGGAGATCCACCTGACAAAAGGAAGCTGTTGCACCAGCATATATACACGGTCAAATCTACAAAAACTGTCATGGGGATTGGAGTAGAACGTGAAGTCACGTTCAGTAGAGTAAAGTTCCCTCCAAGCATCCACCAGCCCCGCAGACTGCAGGAGGGAGCGCATGTGTTCCTCTGCACCAAATTGTGTGAGAAGAGGCTGCCCCCCCCGAGCACAGTGCCGATCTAGAGTGGAATCTAGGGTGACATTTGTATCCCATAAAAGAAGAAGAAGGCCATTAGAGTGTCTGGAGATGATAGAACAAAGGTGCAAGAAAAATTTGTGTCGAAAGCGATTAGGGGCATAATAGGAGACAAAGGTGACC